AGATAAGTTGGTGGCAATGCGACCATAATGGAAACATTAAATGCAAAGATTGTTTGAAAACTTGTTGTTTATACTGCATTAATAAACAAAATAAACAATATGCAATAGATTCGCAACGTTTTATTTAATTTTATTGCCTGGACATAAGAGAAGTTAATGGAAGAAGCCGAATGTTTCCAAATAGTAGATACTGTATATTGACAGATGAGCACGCAAATGAAAGAACAGAAGTAAGTATGTAAGTTGAATATTTACGTTCGATGAGTTTGTGTACGAACAACATGTGGGGTCGTTTACGCATAGATTCGTTTGTTTGCATCATTGTTGGAAAACTTAATGCCTATTAGCGATTTGTTTTGTAGTGAATGAATTTGATATTTTGATTACATCATTTTATCTATCGAATTTTTGAATGACTCCACCCACAAATTTAATCCATTTTAACAAAATAAAATGTGTCAAATTTCACGAAGTGATTTATTAATTTAAAAAAAAAATGAAAACGTGCTTATCACGAGACTTCAAATCGGCTTCACAGTCAATGCAATCAATAATATTGTATTTGAACCTGTAAAAATTCAGTTGATACTAATCTTTTACTCTTTCGATTTAGTGCCTTATAAATCGGATTGCCAAATTTTCCACTTATATGTTGGCAGAAAAACGTATTTATTCTTTCGATTGTTGAAACAATAAAAATGACGTCTGAAATTAAAAAAAAAGAATGGTTACGTGACCAAAAATTGTGACATATAATTTCAAAGACATTTTTTTACATGCGAACGACCTTGGCCTCATGAGCGTATAAGGCGTAACGTCACTAAATACTCGGATACCAAGTGTGTTGAACTAATTTAATTGAATTCGGGGAATTTATACACTATATGTAAAGGCGCTAGTGACTGCGTCACTAGTCACAATTCGATCTTTACAGTTTAAAGTTCGATGGAAAAACTTGCAATTTATTTACAAAAGTCAAAGTGAGAAGAAAAAAAATGCGAAAAATCAATTATATATATTTCATTGATACAAGTTCCTCTTGGTATTATCAAAGTCAAAATCAATTTCAATAGAAATGAAAACAAAACAATGACCAATAAAAAGATAAAATCAATCTTACGCATCGGTATGATAAGATTTAGTTAATTGATAATCTTATAACATTTCTCAGAAGTAATTTCGTTTTGTTTTAAACAGACACTCACGGAGAATACTTTCATTCCACCATATAAAATAACGTTCACATGAAAACGTAAACATTCAATTGACAACATTCTAGTAGCGAGTAATTGATTTTTTATTGAGAAGGGACTATGGGAAAACCGGACATAGAAGATGTATTCCAACCAAGTACCAAATCAGTATCTTGCTGCAGCTGTGGGTACGTAAAGGAAAAACAATCTGTAAAATATCTTTATTGCTATTGGTTATTATTAGCATACTTTTTTCTTCCAATTAACATAGGTAATATATTGACGGTCATTTATGGCATCTCCGCAGGATGGTAAAAAAGCTTTATAAAATAATTGTGATGTTATCGGTTATCATGACTCTTTCACTTCCAGGGCAAGTCCTTCTCTTTTCTATTACAATCGGACAAATCGCCATTGCCATCGGGTAAAATTACAATAGATTGCATCTTTTATTTGTATCGGTGGTTTGATTGGAAATATCCTATTTGGATGGATTACAAGTAAAAAAACTTCCAATTTGGGTTCAAATTGGACAACTGGCCTCGTCGATAAAGCCGGAAGAAAGGTACGGTTTCCATTTATTCATTTATTTAAATTGTGACAACAATTATAAAAAAAAAATCTCTTTTGTTTAGTATTTGTTTGTAGTGTCATCTCTTGGTATTGCTTTGGGTTTAATTACACTGGTATAATGTTGATATCATGGAATGTTAACTTGGAAGTCGTAAACTGGATTCCAATTACAAGTTTCTCATTCGTAATATTTATAGCAAGTTGGGCGGTATTAACCTTTCCATTCTTGGTCATCTCGGAAGTGATGCCGGAAAAAAATAAAGATTTTGGACTCTCATTTTGTATAGCCTGCTTATGGACGTGTTCATTTGCTGTAGTAAAATGTTTCCCATTACATCATGGTACAATGTTCCTATTTTCGGTTTTCTGTTTGGCTAGCACATTATTTATTATCATTTACATGCCGGAAACAAAGGGAAAAGGCTACGATGAAATAATGTACTCACTTCGTTAAGAAGTATTGGATTTGTTTTAAAAATCATTCAATGCGATTCAAACAAATGACATATTCATTGCTTATATAATGCTCAAAATTGAATTCATTTATTTATTGTAAATAAGCAATCAGATTTTTTTTATAGTTCTAAGTGTACACTGTACATGTTAATCCTATTTATGATGTAAAACATTTGTATTCCATTTCAATTTGAAATTTTAAGAAAACAAAAATAAATGATCGGCTTAAATAATTCAAACCTCTTGACTCTTGAGTATTGTTTCATTTATCTGTTTTATTAGTGTTATTGTGGGCTTAACATCGACATATAATAATAAACATGCGGGCTTTGCTTCACAACAAGAAAAGAGCCTTTCACTTTTTTTTTATTATCGAAATGACGTTATAAAAATTATGATAGAATTTGTGAATTACGTGTCACCTTGACACAAGTAATTCACCAAAAAAAAGAGGAAAAAATGTATGTTGAATCATTCAAATTCCGTTTAAAGAAATCTAGTTGGAATTATCTTTTAACTTTTTAATTTTAACTGCTAAATCATACGGCACATTTTCCGCTGACAAACGCATTTATTTTGCCAAGTATTTAAACAACATAAATGACGTCTGGCATGCAGCAATTGATTGCGTGACAGAAGAATTGGAACTATTGCAAAATCTTAAGGAATTTTTTTTTACACATAATCCAAACCAAATAACAGGTAGTCAATTGGACATACGACTACTTTGTTTTATGCGTGAAATTCATTTTTCAACGTTTAACTTTTCATTTCATGCGACCTGAACAAACATTTGAGACTCAAGTGGATTGAATTATTTTATTACTGTTGTAAATCAAATGATTCGAGAAGAAACAAAAAAAAAATAAATAAAGGCCAACACCGTTGTCAAGTATCTAACTGATAAATTAATCTTTATCAAATTTTTAAGGCAAATACGCAGTCGAATGTAATTCTAGAGATAATTGTTGTTCGCAGTCCACCACATATAAAATTGCTTTATTCACGCAGAAATTCAAAGTTTTAATTTAAGATACTTGTAGGCAGCAAGCGATCACTGTTGCGTCTCGAAGTTTTTGTTGCAAAGTAATAATGGGGAAGGAAGAGTCAAATGTCAACACTTTTGTACCGGTGACAAGTGTTAAATTCCAATATCTTGCCGCACTAGTTGGTAAAGAAATATTTAAAAAAACACATATTTCCTTTGCTAGGCAAATTGTATTTATTAAACTTCAATTAAAAAATAACAGCGAATTTGATCACAATTGGCTTTGGCGTAACAAACGGGTGGGCAAGTCCCAGTTTACTTCTATTAAAATCAGACGATTCTCCACTACCATCGGGTAAAGTTACAGTAGAAGAATGTTCTTGGATAGCGAGTTTAATGTGTCTCGGCGCTTTGGTTGGAAATTCATTCTTTGGAACCATTTCCAGTAAATTTGGCCGAAAAATTGGAATGCTTTCCCTTACGCTTCCGACTATTGTGAGTACAAAAAAAGGTGTTTGTGCATAAAAAAACGCCAAAACATGAAACTATTTAAATTTTGTAGATTGCTTGGACGCTTGTGATATTCGCTCAAAATGTGTACTACCTTTATGCTTCTCGAGCAATTAATGGATTCGTTGGTGGAGGTGTGTTCGTGATAATACCAGTTTACTTATCAGAAATTGCAAGTGATCGGTAAGCGAATTGTGTGATTTCCATTTCTTTCAGATAATAATTAAGTGACCATGATAAAACAATAATGCATATTCGTTATCGTTCATTTCACAGCGTAAGAGGAGCCCTGGGATCAATGTTGGTTTTAAGGGGCTAGTCTCACGATATGGAAACAACTATGGAAACATGA